AGGGCCTTTTGATCAAGGTAATATTTCACTTTGTTTACTATAGCAAGACTTTTGGAAATTTTAGTTTTTATATGTCTAATGTGGGCTTTAAATGATAATTTACTGTCTATTATTACTCCCAGGAATTTATTTTCATTTACATTTTCTATTTGGACACCTTCAATCAAAATTGGTAACTCTGTGTTAATCTTGTGATTGCCAAACATCATTGCCTTGGTCTTACTCAAGTTTAGTGACAATTTATTGATATCCATCCACTTTTTAATTTTGTTTAACTCCTCATTCAGAGTAATTATGAGTTCATTATAATTGTGACTACTATAAAATATGTTGGTGTCATCTGCAAAGAGTATACATTTTAGGGATTGAGATACAGTAAATATATCATTTATGTATATATTGAACAATTTTGGTCCCAGAACAGACCCCTGGGGGACACCACAAGTAATGCCAAGGTTTTTTGATGTATACTTTCCCATTTGAATATATTGCACCCTTTTCAACCAGCTCCAAGCTATCCCCCTAATACCATATCTAGTAGTATTGAGTGATTAATAGTATCAAAGGCTTTCTTAAGGTCAATAAAAATACCAGCAATGTATTTATTGTCATCTAGTGCATTTGTGATTCCCTCTATTGCATTAATTATTGCCACTGAGGTGGTTCTCTGTGTCCTAAACCCGTATTGTCCTTCGTTAATTATTTGATATTTGTCAATAAACTTTTCGAGACTTTGCAACTGAAGTCACTGATTCCCTGGGGGTGTGAGGCTAAATGAAGGCACTACTCTGTTAGAAGCTCTTTTACTCAGATTAGACGTAATCTGATCTTTATTTTGACACAATCTGACCAAAAAGAACTGATTTAGATGGAAAAACAGGAGGGGTGATTTGAGCACTTAAACAAGTCTCTCACAGAAAATTACAGTCACGAGATTGCATTAGCCAGCAGTTCTTTTACTTAGTCTTTTGCTCAGTCGCTTGTATTGACCATAGGCTTCTGACTTTTACGATGGTCTTAAACTTTTTTGGCAGTGTTTGCTAATGTGTGCATTATGTCACCATGAAAACTCTAAACATTCACATACAACTACATGTAGAGCACCCCCAGCGTGATGGCACTGCAAAGTGTCAGTAGATTATGTTTGTTCAGAATTAGTTTTAAATTGATGAAAGACGGGGCTGTGCAGACAGACTGTACAGACTCTAAACAAGATTTTTTTTTTAAATAAATCAATCATAATAATAATACCTTTTATATATTAGCCACCTTTCTGGACACTCAAGTTGTCACAACGTGCACAAAAACGCATTAACAAAGTAACAAAGTAAATCACTTAAAATGGGACAGTGCAGCTATGGCCTGAGTGAATTGTACTGAAAGCCAGTGCTAGGCTCTCAAATTTATATGACCAAATCCAAACTGTCAGAAAATGACTAATAGAAATAATACTTATAATTCTGCCCGCTGGTCAGGTCTCCAGGCTTCAGTCTTGTGCTGTACCTCCCATTTGTATGATTCACAGCAGGTGCAGAGACATTTCTCTATACTTTGTGCTAAAGGTCAGTGGCCTGAATGCAGGTCTACCCAGGGCTCCTGAGGGGAAGACATTAACAAATGCTCTTGTGTGTTAAGTATGTGTCAGTGCAGTAGGCTTATATATAAATGCTGGTTGTGCCTTCTTCTTTTTCTAACCTTAGTTCACTCTTTCTGTGTTACTTTAGTTTAATGCACACAATAGTAATAGTTATGCACAGATTCAACCCTCTATGTTTAACTCTTTCTGTTTCTTTAGTTTTGTAATAACACACAATAAATTCAAAAGTAAAGTACAAAAGTAACAGAAAGAGAGGACTGATTAATTAAAAAGTTTTTCTATTTAGTTTAATGCACAGAAATAGTAATATTATAGTAAAAGTAGTACAATTAGTGGCATTAGTTTTATATGGGTTTCAGCCTGATTTTTAATTCAGGTTTACCTCTACTACTTGAGCACAGCATAGCAATAGTAGGGATGCCCGATCACATTTTTTTTGCCTCCGAGTCCGAGTCCTTTGATTTTGAGTATCTGCCAATACCGAGTCCTGAGCCGATACTGCTATAAAACATTATGACATGAACTAAGAGCAAAGAATAAAATCCAGGATGTATGGGGGGATCAGATTGTGTTGATTTCAATGTGTAGGCCTAAGTAATAGCTATAGCAATAGCAAAAGCAATCGCAACACCATTTGCAATTCTAATAATAGTATTGTAATGGCATTGTTTTTACATAGATCCAACCCTGTACATATCCAGACTTGAAACAGGCTTGTGAATTCTTAAGTTCTTTTAGGGTGCATTCACACTTCCTGGCATGAGCCCAGTTTAGTCCATATATAGATGTGGTTCAGTCCTGTGCTAATCCTGGTTTAGTCCTGGTCTAGTCCAGAATGAGTTGCAAATTCACCACCAGTTTAGTCCCAATTTTGATGTGGCCTTTGTGCAAGTGCAAATGCACCCTTATTGATATTTGCCATCAGTTTTCATGTCCATGCACACAATTTTAATTTGTATGTTTTGTTTTTGTTCAGTCATTATTACAGCTGGTTCATAAATATGTTTCCCTTCAGATTAATGAGCTGACCAACAGTGACCCTATGACCCCGTGACCTTTCATCCGAGGCAGTAATGAGTGTGTAGTGGGCTGATTACAGCGTGGGCCGTGATTGGCTCAGAGTTCATTAGAACATTCCGAGGCGCTGCGTACATAACAAATGATACCCAGTGCCCAGTGTGATTTATGCTGGGTTCATGTCATTATGCCGCCTTCCAGCAACTTAGACTCAGACATTATCAATACTTCGAAATTGCAGAGGAGCATTTAGGTTAAGCTCCGGGCTGAAGTATTTTAGTATTATGAGATGCTCTGCAGAAAATCACACTGTAACATGCTGGTCACTGGCAGGTAAAAACAGGTGAAGTGATGTGAATCTAATGTTCAGCTTTTAATTTAAAGGTGCACTGCACAGCTTTTCTGGTGGAAATGCTTTGCCAGGAATGGTCCATGGTATGACATTAAACATATCCATCCAGCATTTATTCATTATGGGTGTTATACAATACAATAATAGGAATGGGGCAGCTCTCCACAGATCTGAACTGTAATGTAGTATAGTGCTGTAACCTGCTTGTCTCCCTAGTTGAATCTATACTGTGGAACATTCTATTTCTATTTCCATTTTTAAAGCAAAAACATTTCCATCGAGATAAGCAGGTGGTAAAACCTCCACACAAAAGAGATATTCTGCTAAATCAACTTTTATGAAGTTTTATCCATGCTGTACCTGTGTTGTACTGTTGTAATGAATTGATTTCTGCATGTTTGAGCAATCCTGTAAAATGTACTGCTCACATTTGTGAAGCACAACTGTTCAGAGACCAGAGTCCAAAAAGTCCCATGTCTTTTACAAAGCAGTTTTAGATCAGTTTTGCATTTGTCTTGACACAGAAATCAGTCTACAGAAGGAATATTATTGAATAAACTCATCTTATTAATGATTAGGAAGCTCCAGTCTAACAGGTACAAAGATTGAATGCATTGTTATTATGTGTGTAGTAGGCAGGTAGTCATTATGTTATGGCTGTAAACAGTAGGTCTGTGCAGACTGGAACCTTCTGCAGATATTTGCGGCATAATGCTTCCTGTACATTGAACAGTGAACACTAAATCACTCCTGCAGCCCATAACTCTGACGCTTTTAATTTAATCAATAGTACAACTTTATGCTGGGCTCTGATTAAAGTGAATGCATTTGGATGGAAAGACATCTGTGAAGAGGTGGTTGGATGTGAACATGCCAACTGATTTATGAAGCCGTCTTAATAATTGACAGAAACTAATTGAATTGTACTTGTATTGTGTCAGTGTTGAGCTGTAACATGCAATTAGCACAAGATGGAGTGACCTGTTTTTGTGAAGGCCTGTGTTAGACTAGAGTTGTCAAAAAAAACAATACCCAGATGATAATTGATACTAAAACTATCAAGTAGCAAAATTGGAGATTTGTTTGAAGTATTAAAACTGAAAAATATTGCATACAAAAATGTGCACCTCATTGTAGTCTTGATATATACAGTATATATAGGAATTTGTATTATTGGGGTATCAAAAACAGTATCAACTCAATTACTGAACTTTTCTTTAACATCAAAATTGAGTACATGTATGTTTTTAACCTTGATGTTGTCATTGACTTTTGTGGGTGGAAGCCAGATGCACGCCTTTCTTATAATGCACGATGTCTGACTGTTGTTCTACTAATTCTGTAATTTTTAATTTATTGGTGTCATATTTGCTCCTGATGCTGGTTTAATGTCACCAGAGAGGAGAATATAAACTCAGTTCATTTGCTCAGCTGCATTCCAGAGCATCACTAAAAGGAGATTTTTTTCAATATTGTGGTTATAATAGTTTCGTTATTCGCCTCAGGGGCAACATTTCTCTGACTGAAAAACAACAGATAAAAGGTTTAGCAAGAGCAGTTCACTCATTAGAGATTTCTGACAGATGTTTTGTAAATGATTATCTACTTCACCCACCTCTTATGCCCTGACCTGCACTTACCTTGCCCTGACCTAAATCAGTTACAGATATTATATAGGAGGGCATTCATTTTATTTTCTTAGACATTCATAGAGCTTTACATGTTTTCTGTATTTTTCCACTACTATCCCAAATGATGGTATAATCCATATAGCCCGGGATGGCTTATTGTGCCAGTGTTCTCTTTAACCTGCACAGCTAAGGTACACTGTAATGATCACTGACCAGAGCTATAGATATTTGAAGCAACTTGAAGTGTCTTGCCCAGTAACACAATGGCAGTATAAGCTGGATGGAGAACCATCAGCCTCTTTGATGGATATCCACTAATGCTGTTTGATAACCACAAAATAGTAATGAAACAACTAAAAATAATAAAAAGTGTGTATAAGAGTTGTGTTGTGTGTGTCTACAGTTCGACATGCAGCAAATCACACTGGAGGAACTCAAACACATTCTGTTCTATGCCTTCCGTGACCATCTGACCATGAAGGACATTGAGAACATCATCATCAATGAAGAAGAGTCCCTCAAGGAGAATGCCGGCAACTGTCAGACAGAGTTTGAGGGAGGTGAGTCTTCACTTCTAAACACTAATGCGTCCTGTCAGGGATGTGCTGCAGCCCGCCGGTCGCACACTGCACCTGCTGATTTATTGATTTAGTAGAGCTGCTGGGGACGCTCGTCATCTGGGCACCTGTTCACAAGTGACGCAGATCACATATGCATTGCTTCACTGCGCAAATCTGGTCATCCAACATTAACGTCAACCCACTGTGACCTGCTCCTGGGTCTGGAGTAAAAATAACCTTTTGTTTTACTCTCCTTTTAACTATTTAAAGCTGAAGTATTTTGGACTGCCAAGAGATCAGATAGTGTATTCATAATAATCTAGGTTATAACAAACCAGGATACATTTTATGGCAGTCCCAAATCTACAGAACAAGGCCTGTGTGAAGAAGGGCATCTGCAAAATCAGAAATGTAAATCACTTTGGAACATACCAGGACAACATAAGGACAAAAAAGACTTATAGGCTATAACCTTTCACTTAGCCACTTTTATGTTCATAATAGTATAATGCAATGAAATCACTACCTGCTTTGTATTCTTGTCATGGTCATATCCATGCACATACACACAGTTATGTAGCCTTATATTTTTACTCTACTCTCACATCCAAGATGCCTCTTCAGTTCTGGTCAGAATGATGGTGGACACATCCTTATATCTGCCTGCGAAAAGGTAGCCAGGCTGGTGCCACCTAGTGCCTCTGCTCACTTTCATTTTTCTCCAGCAACTAGGTCAGGAATAAAAATACAATAGATGGTTCACAAAAACCCTGGAAGCGCAGGTTCGGGCACCAGTCAATCAGCGAAGAGCCGTATTCCATATTCAGTGTTGTCAACGATTCCTGAGATCAAGGATTTAAAGCCAAAACAAAGAGAATGTTTGGCAAATTTCATGAAGGGGAAAGAAGTTATAGCCCTTCTTCCTACGGGATTTGGGAAAAGCTTAATATACTAGTTAGCCCAGTTAGCGGTGCATTACATACGTCACGACCAAATAGCAGCGATTGATTAAATGATAAAAAGTACCCGCCTACTGTCGAGTGAACAAATTCTAACACTGCGAGGTCAGACGGTTTCTGCGAAGTGAAATGAAGTGAAACCGGCTGATGCATCAGACTAGCAGGATGGAGCTAACTACACTGAAACTACTCTGAAACTAACACCCCACTTGTTTACAGTTTCTGTTTGTTAGCTAGGTGTATTTATCTGTATCTGAGTGAGGGGGCATATTAGTATAATCATTTGGGCCCAAAATTTGTGTTTTCACACCTACAGCCCTGACTTGGCAACTCCTATTGTTCTCTTTGGCTTTAGGATGGAGTTGTAGATGGGAGATAGATGGTTTCTGAGGCCTCCATTTTTGTTCAAGGAAGAGTTGTCTTTCCTAACAAAAATAGGTAACAAAAATAATTCATGGGACATTGATTGTGATACATTTTCCATGAGATGTGGTACATCCTTGGCAATAGCAGGAATTCACAAAACTACAGACTGTGACATACTGTGGATAATCCTCAGTAACAGCCTGTGGGATATCGAATCTATTATTGCTGTGAGGCAGGTGCAGTCACCTGTCAGGACTGCCACTGTGCATTTCCTCTGGATATGTCTCGCCAAATCAGCACTTTTTACCATATTTTATATACAGTACAGTTCAACGCATAATTAGATCTAACAGCCCTCGGCAAAGATATATTAAAACTAAAATGTGTGATTGTAGACCACTTTTTTCTCCATATGAGCAAGAATTATCAGATTTGGGTTATAATAAAACTACTCTGCATTATAAGATTTTTAATTCTGGCTAAAATTGACAGCTCATTTTTATCATTCAAATGCTTATTATTTTGTATGATTTAACAAAACAAAAATAGAATAATACAAAACAATGAGGACAAAAACAAAAGGCAGTATGTAAATACAGAGTACTCAACAGGGTCTTTTTGAAATGTTTACGACCAGCTGTTGTACTTTGCTTCACATAGTTCAGTACAGGGACCATGCAGTTTGATGGATACTGACACAGCTGTCTGGTCAGGGGCAGATGCTGCTGCAGTGCTCTACCAGAGGAACATGTGACAAATCTTTACTACCCCATTCTTCACCCACTTACTGGACCTCAGTTTTTCTGCAGGACTCCATAAACCATGAGGACAAAACAACACCGACAGTCTGGCAACAGTTTATTGAATGTATAAAAAGTAACTACGCAGTAAATGGAGAGATTTTAAAATTACTTTTTTTTTTTGTCTTTTTTGCCGTAGTATGCTTTATTGTACAGATGTATGAGAATGAAATGAGAGAAAGAGTTGGGAGAGATATTCAGAGTCATGCAGCACATAATTAGACTTAGCCAAACTTTATTGATCCACAATTATTTGGACACAGTAGCTCACACATCACAATATAATATAATAACAAAGAGCAAAAATATAAATGGTAATAATAAATTCAAAATAAGTACAAGAAGCAAAGATCAAGAGACCGGTGTCAAATATGATATAATTATATAAATGTACAAGTAAAAATAAAAAGTATAGAAATAGTAATACAAATATCTTTCAGTTATATGCAAGAGGTTGTAAGGAGAAAACAATGCAAAGATGAAATAGTAATCCAGGAGCTACTGTGACCTGCCACTCTCTCAGGCAATCAAGTCAGAATACCTGCACTTGTTTGGTTTCTATCAGAGGACTGAATGAGTAATCTACACCTCTAGACTCTTTTGATGGCCATGCAGCACAGTAAAATCTAATTAAAACAAAACAAACAAACAAAACAAAAAAAACATTATTGCCAATCATTTTTTAGCTACACTGGACCATAGCTGTCTGTGTGCCTGGTGCGTGAACACAGAATACATGAGTGGCCTATCCTAATATTAACTGCAGTGTGATAAAATGTGCAGACTTTACGACCAGGGCACAAAAGGCCAAACCTCAGCAGTGCTCAGTCAGCCTAATCAATGTTACTGTCACCGTGCCATTCATACCTCACCATCCATCCTCCTGCTACAGCCCACTGATGTACAAGCCCCAATATAGGCACCTGTATCCCCCTGGCTCCACCCTCCTCCTCCCAGATCAATGCAGATCACAATAAAAAATAAAACTACAATGTCTAAGGAGTACTCTCATCTACAATCATAATGTATGAACATGACAGCTGCCAGAGAAACAGGATTAAAGTATTTAATTTTCACGCATACAGTACTCCACAGTTGTGTTCCTCAAATTATTCCATTATATAAAAGGGTATAGAATAGAGATGAGGAGAAATATTCAGTTTGTCGACTGGACAAAAGTTAGTTTGGTTGAAGACGTTTCGCAGCTCATCCAAGCTGCTTCTTCAGTTCTGAACTGGGGTTGCAACCATCATTCAGCAGCAGAATTGCTTTGTATTATTGTACAGCCATTTGACATCACATTGATTTTTTTTATCTGTATGGTTTGGGCAGTTCAGAACTGAAGAAGCAGCTTGGATGAGCTGCGAAACGTCTTCAACCAAACTAACTTCTGTCCAGTCAACAAACTGAATTTTTCTCCTCATGGATTCTACCTGGACGACTGAGGGATTCTTCACGCGGTATAGAATAGCGTTAATAGGTTTCCAAACTTTCAAATTGGTCTGTGAATGGTTAATAAAGTAGCCTAATGTCTTGGGCAAAGATAGAATGGTCTGTTCGGATTTTGTGTTATCTCAGAGAGGCAAAAGGAGGGAAGTTGAAGGGAGAATATGTTAAATAGTCAATCAGCTTTTGTTACTGTTCTGATGGTTCTAAACCATAAGCTCCAATTAATTCATGCCTGAGTAATGCTGCATTTTCCTGCATTTAAGGCTTGAGTGCTTAGAAAGGTCCAGTTTTCACCCACCCCCTATCTTCACCCACTGCCCTGTTCTTACTTGTAACTACTGAAAAAATCAGACTACAGGTCATACATGTAGGGTTAAAAATGTCAGCAAGATTCAACAATAAAACATGAATGCAAACTTGCTTTTTGATACAGTGAATTGCATTGTATGTCAGGACCTCTCACCTCTGCAGTCAGTGGTTTCCATAATTAAGACATTTTTGTTTTACAATTAATATAATGTTAAATAACGATCTATGTATGTTACAGTTAACCACAAAGAAAAAAAAACTTGTTTTAAGTGACTATGAGAGGTGTTACCTTTTAACCTTTGATTATTTACGGTTAACACCTTCATTTTGTCTGAAAAACAAGTGGGGCCCCAGACAGCAGATGGTCAGATCAGGGCACACAGGGCCCTTGAGCAGGACTGGAGTATTATCAACAGATTGAAACTGAGACATTAGTAGTGACTGGAGCCACTGAACCTTGTATAACCTCATAAAGTGCCCCCTCCAAAGAGATCAGCTCCTCAGGGAAAGACCACTGCAGACATTAAGCAGGTAATGAGGTGTGGCCCACTTTCTAGACTACTGACCTAACACTGGACAAATGAGAACTTTGACTTTTGTAATAAAGCGCCATGGTATTTTTTGTTATCAGTTTAGCGTGTTCATCTAATACTTTTGTTTTCTTGCCAGTAGTCTTCTGTCTTTCTTCTATCTAATTCCTAGTTGTAAATAATATAGTTTAGTTTTTCTCACAACCTGGAAGAGTGGCTACAACAGATACCGGGAAAAACAACGGACATCTCAGTCCAGAAAAGTGCAGTACTGGGAACAGCAAAGATACTGGGCAGAACTCTCAAGCTCCCAGGCCTCTGGTAGAGGACCCGAGCTGAATGAGGGTGAGAGAGACCTACCACCGTGTATATATATATATATATATATATATATATATATATATATATATATATATATATATATATATATATATATATATATATATATATATATATATATACACACACACACACACACACACACACACACACATACATATATATATATATATATATATATACACACACACACACACACACACACACACATATATATATATATATATATATATATATATATATATATATATATATATATATATATATATATGTGTGTGTGTGTGTGTGTGTGTGTGTGTGTGTGTGTGTGTGTGTGTATATATATATATATATATATAATATATATATATATATATATACATTTATTATGTTTCTGTTCTCCTTGGATTAATCACTATTTCAAACTACCTTATCCATGATCAACCCTCATTGTATTTATTTATTTCAGGGACAGTGCATATTAATGAACATTACTGTAAATATCAGAATTAGCCTGGAGAACATTTTTTTCATCTGTAGTCCCATGACAGATGTTAATGTTGGGCTAAAAAACTTTTGGAACTAGTTTAGACCTGCTAAGTCCAGGTTTAGCCATTTATAATCTTAGGTGGTGTTTTGTGTAAAAAGTTTGAGATAGCTCCTAGACTACATAAATTCACATACAGTATTGATTTGCTACAGTTCATTTACTTAAGACTTGAACACTTTTGTAAATAACATTGGAAATATTTTTGCATTATTCAACTCTAAGAAGCCTACAAAACTGGCATTTCTATCCTACTTTTTATAAAGCTTTTTCCTCACAGGAGCAGTCAGGAGGAGTTCTGATGACTCCAGTGTTTTTCGACTTGAGAATAGATTTGGTGCCAGGTAACACTTTGCAATGGGTCACCGAGCAAGTAATTACTTCCAACTAGTCACAACCACTGAGCTGTCCCACTTGTATTTGACTAAAAGTTCTCCCCAGATTTAAATAAACACAATATTTTCAATTTGTTGCACTTGTTTAGGATAGATATACATTTTGTTGTGTTGAGATGATATGTTGAAAGCTAAAAAAAAAAAGGGGTATAAAATCACAGTTCTTGTATTACCACATGACATCACAAGGTGGAACAGAGTATTTTCTGTTTGAGAGAAGAAAGCGGCCTAAATACTGTACGCAGAATTTGTGTGTTAAACATTTATGAATGAAACATAACACAACTGTTTTTGCAGAGGAAACAAAATTATAACAGATCAGAAAATAGCGTAATATGGACCTTTTGATGAAACATATTTGTCAGTTGTGTTTTTTTTTGTATTTGTTTTAATTTATTTTAAGTTGTTTATAGATGAAGGGGACAAAAATTTCACTATAAGGGAGCTCTGTGTGCCTGATAAGCCAACAGAATTTAGAATCACATGTTGACAGTCAGCTGTTTAGGCCAGGCCAGCATCTTCTTAATGGGAATATTGATGGAATTTCACATTGGATACATGCATGTAATGATTGGACTACAGTGCAGTCTTCTAATATTGCTGATTCTTGTTTTGTTCCAGTGCACCCATCTAAAAAGAATCGTCAGACCTGTGTGAGGAAGAGTCTGATATGCGCCTTCGCCATGGCCTTCATCATTAGCGTCATGCTCATCGCGGCCAATCAGATGCTGAGGAACGGCATGGAGTAACGCAGCAGTGACCACGCTCACTGCTTCACTTTCCCATAACAACTCCAGACAATTCCAGTGTCCACCCAGTCTCCAATTAAAACTGTGACGCCAGCACGAGGAGTGGAAGTAAAGCTCCTCCCCCTTTCCTTTTGACAGGGAACCTCAAGGGCTGACACTCACATCACTGTCACTGTTGATGCAATAATTAGACTGACCTGTTCTCAGTGCAGGGGCTTCCAGCAGGGGTCGCCATCACCACACTGCAACATGGAGGGACATAGGTGGACCTCTCATTATACAAGCCAGAGAGGATAATGGGACAGCAGAACACCAAGACTGCAGCTACTTTCTGTTTTAAGTTTGAGAAAATGCCAGTTGCTGCCATCAGTTTATCTGTCCAACAAACCCAAAAGAAAACGTTAAGTAGCCTACCCGGAGAAGGTTCAGGCAGCAGTAAGCAAGTTTAAATATAAATGGTCTCTCTATACTGAAAAATCCCAAAACATATATGGTTATGTAGATGTGTTTCATTTAAGAAAAAAATCACCCTTACATTACATGAGATCAGTAGGGACATTTCATTACAAAAAGTGTGAATGCTGTCAGTAGTGGAAGAAGTATTCAATTTAGTTACTTAAATATAATTTACAGATGTCGGAGCAAGTACAAGTATCACATGAAAAAACTACTTAAGTAAAAGTATTAAAGTACCCATTTAAAAATGTAGTAAAATGTATCCATTTCAAAATATACAGTAAAGTACAGATACCTAAAATGTGTACTTTGTGACATTTCACCACTGAATGCTACTACAACTCACAAAAGCAAGTTAATTCTAATTTGATGAGTTGTGGAAAAATGAGAGCAACATAATTGTTTTGCTTGATATTTTACTGATTTGAATTAAACATAAAAAAAATGAAATTAAATCATATCAATCATGAGGCAGAGAATAATTCTACTTTTTGAGCAAAAACAACACTACAAATTTATATTTTATTACTCTGATTTGAGCTTCACAATATTTTGATATTACTCAATGGTGTGTTCTTAGAAATTAGCATACATTGATCTGTATATTGTTTATGCTCAATAACCCATAAGAGAATCACATTCAGTAACAAACAAGGTCAAATATGTTATACCTTTACATATCTTCATTCTGTTAACCTTAGATATTCCTGTCTTTTGGAGTTATAATGGTGGATTTTATCTTAAGTCATAATTTTGGAGCAGACGCTCCAGCAGGAGAAAATATAGCACCTCCTAAGTGATTTGTGCTGTAATAGCTTCATTAAATTGGTCTGGTGTGTATGAGAAGTATGAAGCGGCAGACTGAATAAATGCACCGGAGATAATGAGTGTCAGAGAAGTAGAAAAGGCATCCTTGTAATACGCCATTAGCCCACATTTGTGCTCTCTGTGCTACTTAAACTGTTTGAAACGGCTGTACGTTCAATCCCTTTACAGTGAGTCAAGGGCTGTCACACCTCCTCAGAATGGTTCAAATGGACTCCTGCACTTAGTCCTATCTCATCCCATCCTGTAAATCCACTTCTGTAGACAATGATATCCGCCATATTATATGCATGTGTCAGTGTCCTATAGCATCTTTAAGCATTTATAATGTGATTGCATTTGTCTGTTTGTTAGTGCGCTCTGCTCACTGGGTCAAAGCCCAAACCTCAAAGCCATACGAAGCAGATGTGCTGACAATGTGTTTACAACCATGTCTTATCATTTGGATAGTACAGTATATGTACTATATTACATTACCAGTTGAAACCTTTATGACAAACTGGAAAACACACAGTTTGAGCCAAAAAAAAAAAAAAAAGTAAATCAGAGTAAATGCGTGAACAAATGAGATTTTCCAAGCTATTGAAATGAAACAGAAGAGGTATTTCTTGCTCTAAATTTAGCCCCAATTTGTTGCTGCCTATTTTGATACAATGTTATTGCCATCATTTTTTTAAGGTACGGTGGTTTTGTAATGTTGTGCAAGAGTGCCCTCTACAGGAGGATGGAGCTCACACAGTCTGTTTTCCCATCAAAGATTAGGTTTTTGTCTCATTGTTCTTTATCACGTCTTAACTACTGTCTGATCTACCACATCAACAAAGCTATTGGTAGAGGGTCAGTTTTATGTAAATTCATGTATTTAAACTAGAATTCTTCTATGGCAGAAGAAAACTTTTAAACCTGTAAGAGGTTTTTTACCACTTGGTCATTTCTAATGGAAGCTCTAGCTCCTCACTGCTGTATCATAATATTGGAGACAGCCTTGTTTCATACAGGCTCAACAGCAGCATGTCTGCAGTGGACTTCAATGGGAAGAGGAAGCACATGTCTTTCGTAGCATGGTGATCGAATTTGGATCCTCAGTGTTGTTATATGGAAAATAACTATTAGACAAGCACATAATACATATAACTTGCATGTGCGGCATTGAAACATGTAGGCTAGAAACAACTACTAATATTTATTAAAAAACTATTATTATTCTATGTAAATATTTAAGATTGTACAAAAGTGAACATCAAAACAGTAAACCTTTTATAAAACCTGGAAATTGTGTCCATATTCTTTGTCACCGGTTCAAAATGTCTTCATTTATTTATGATTACAAAACCAACACGCTGAATGTTTGTCCCTCTAACATAAATGTTGCTTTATTTGGTATTTAACCTCCTAAAGCTTTAACTGCTGTAACATCCAAACTGAATGCATGGTGACTGATGACACTTACTTTAATTGGGGCTTGTGTGAGATTAGTATGTGCCTAATACATACTTGTCATAATGTAACAGTGCTGAGCCTGCATGTCTCTGGTGTCATTTTCAGTAAACAGGATGAAGGCATTTATTAATCCGATTTCATGGCACAGACCAATGAGCAGGCCTGTTGTTCAACCGCCTGCTCCCCTCTGCAGGCTGTTAGCATGCAGCCTGTGTCTCCCTTGGTCCCCACCAGTCCATGTCCCCTTACTAGAGACAGGGCCCTGTGTCTTATCTGCCCTCACTGCTTGTACAGCTCACAGTCACTTGATGCACTTGGGCATGCTAATTATTCACACCAGACTCAAGTGAAAAATGTCTAATTCCACCCTTTTAAATAACAGAGCAAATGGTGCTCCCAGATTATGAGCATTCATTTGAGATTTGCCAATTAAGAGTTTGCAAAACGTTCAACTGCATGCTTAAATATATGCAGTCTATAAATGTTTATAAATTAAATGATCTTTTCATGTAAATGTAAATTATCCATTTATTTTAATATATTTTTTAATATTTTGAGAGTAAGAAAGATAGTATGTTTGCAACTCAAATTGTATAGAGTACTCTGTATGTTTCAGACAGATTTAAAAGAATCAATATAAGACAAAGAAACTCATACTACTTATAATAATGCTTAAGTCTTATGCTGCTTTTCCACTAGCTCATAGTCGCTTTACAACATTCATACTGGGCAATGTGGGTGAAGTGCCTTGCCTAAGGGCCCAATGGCAGTTGTGGGTACACTATCCTGACAAGATTTAAATTGTTCTTGTATTGTACTGACACATAAGCAGGCAGTACAAAGGATTTTGTGAGACAAGATGGCCAAGAAAAAAGGATAAATGTGAAGAATAAAAATCTGTTACACGAAGATGTTGCGGTGGCGGTCACAGATTGGGTGAACAGCAAAGCCATGTCTAAACGAACAATCTCTGATAATAACAATAGTAAATTTAGAACCAGCAAAGCAGTTTATTGGAAGACTTATTTGTGAAGCAGAAATCCAACATCAAATATAACATCACACACTTCAGGGCTCCATTGTTTCTATTTGTCTCTCTAGCCCCAGTTAGCTGCAATTGGCTCCTTTGTTTTGTATACAGTTCTCATCCATTCAAACCATTTCCATGTCAAAAAGTGCTTCAGGCTGCAGCTCATTTGTTTTTGGCCATCTGCAGCATCCTCAATGGCACTCAGCATGTAACAGAAAAATCCCTTCACAATATGTCCCTGTGTTCATACATACAGTTAGTCATGCTACAATTACTGCATTTGGTGCTACAGAAAACATGGAGTAAAAAAGGACAACTTCAGTAGGCCTCGGGTTTCAAAGTAGCCAGAAATAAATCTAAACTTCCCCGTTAGAAAACAAATGAAAAAACAAATACTACAAAAATGTAAGAATGCTTTGGGTATTTCCAGATAAAACATAAATATGTGCAAATGTCTTACATGTATACATTTACTAAGCACACATAAAATAATGCAGAACATATTTCAGCATAATTTCGTTAAGGGGGAATTTATGAGCTTTTTTACAAAAATATTATGGTTTGTGGCACAATATAATCCATGGCAACATTACTTTGAAAACTTGCTAAACAAGAGGTGAATGTTCTCATGCGAAACCCACCCAGGACTACAGCAAAGTCCAACTTGGAAAACTGTTCATTGGGAGCTCATGTCTGTTTCATGGTGTTTTTGATGGTCCATCTTTGTCCTCTGCACGACTGTAGGACCAGCTGGTGTCCAAAATACACTTTAGCCGGCACCACCTCAAGACAGCGCCCAGACGCCTGGTTTATCACTGAAGAATTCTGTAGAGGACAAAAAAACAACATGCCTACACCATTCCAAAAATATACATTTTGTCTTCTTTTGTATATAAATTTCTTGGGTTATTTTTAAAGACAAATGTCCTACTGTACTGTTCCAAGAAGTTAGTGACCACACCATGTTACAGGTACAGCTTCAAATCACATACACCAACAGTAGGTACAGTGTATGCAATAACCTGGCCTATATGGATAATGTACTATTGAGTCATTTTGTTTACCTTCTTTACATGTTTCAGTTGCAGTTTATTTTGCTTTTGTGTAGACATGTCACAACACAAAAATAAAATAAAATAAATTCTCCTGTCTGAAAGAATTGTTTAATTTAATACTGAAGACAGAGGGAACCATTATCAAAGATTGATAATGTCCTGTACATCTAATTTATTACTTTTAAAACAATTAAATTCCACTTTAAACTCTATAGTCAAAGTTTTGTATAAACACTGGGCCTCATTAATGAAACTTTTTTACAAACAAATTTGTTCTTAAGGCTTACTTATGAACATGAAATGTTTTCTTTACTGAAAATGTTCTTCTGGAAAAACAGGAACATAAGAACAAAAAATTCTACTGTTTTATAATATTATTACTCTGATAATGCAAATTCTAATTCCTCCATGATTGTAAGTAATAACATTTATGAGGTATTTTATAGAGCATGTAGTCTATTAGATCTAACACTTTATACAGGCTGCAGTGAGCCTCAGTTTGTCCCAGCCCCAGTGTTCTCCATATGGGCCACTGTCACAGCCCTGTCCTAGGTAACCCTAACCCTAACCACTGTGCTGGACTCAACACCCCCATCACCCCCCTGACTCCCTCATGACCCCCCAGAGTGCACTCTTATGCACCCCTTATGCATCCCTACCCCTGCCCCCTCCCCCCTCCCTCCCCTCCCTCCCCCTCCCCTCACTTTTTACCGTGGGTCCACGATCGCAGAAAGTGCAATAAATATGACAAAAGTGTCCACTTACTTCCATAAGTTTATGACTTAAATATTCCCTGACTGAGTGTGTTCATGTGAGTTTGGACATTTGAAATCGCCTCTGAAGCTGTAAAACAGCCGTAGTCTATAGACACGCTCCACCTGACTACCTCACACTTTCACAAGTTTCAAAATCCCATATTGGCCATATTTGGAAGTTAAAGAGCATTTCTAACAACCATCCATCCATCCATTTTCGTACGCTTATCCTGGGAAGGGTCGAGGGGGCAGCAGCCTAAGCAGGGACTCCCAGACTTCCTTCACCCCAGACACGTCCTCCAGCTCCTCCGGGGGAACCCCGAGGCGTTCCCAGGCCAGCCGAGAGACATAGTCCCTCCAGCGTGTCCTGGGTCTTCCCCGGGGTCCCCTCCCAGTGGGACATGCCCGGAACACCTCCCGACGGAGGCACCCAGGAGGCATCCGGAACAGATGCCTGAGCCACCTCAACTGGGTCCTCTCGACGTTGAGGAGCAGCGGCTCTACTCCGAGCTCCTCCCGTGTGACTGAGCTCCTCACCCTATCTCTAAGGGAGCGCCCAGCCACCCTGCGGAGGAAACTCATTTCGAGTGCTTGTATCTGCGATCTTTTCCTTTCGGTCACTACCCAGAGCTCATGACCATAGGTGAGAGTAGGAACAAAGACTGACCGGTAAATCGAGAGCTTCGCCTTTCGGCTCAGCTCCCGCTTCACCACTACGGTCCGATACAGACCGCATCACTGCCGAAGCTGCACCAATCCGCCTGTGAATCTCACGTTCCGTCCTTCCCTCACTCGTGAACAAGACCCCGAGATACTTGAACTCCTCCACTTGAGACAAAGATTCCCCACCTACCCAGAGAGGGCAAGCCACCTTTTTCCGGTCGAGAACCATGGCCTCAGACTTAGAAGAGCTGATCTTCATCCCAGCCGCTTCACACTCGGCTGCAAACCGCCCCAGTGCACATTGCAGGTCCTGTTTCTAACAACATACATATTAATTTTCTATGTAAATGAAATGTAAATGAGCATGGAGGTATTCGTAGCTGAGTGTTGGTGAATTAGGCGCAACTGTTTGAGGTCCCCCGGAGGAGCTGGAGGAATTTTCTGGGTTGAGGGAAGTCTAGGAGTCCATGCTTAGACTGCTACCACTGCGATCCAGTCCCAGATATGCGGAAGAAAATGGATGGATGGATGTCGTTTAAGAAGGAATTTGCGAGCTTAAGAACACTTTGTGAATCTGAGTTCTCTCAGAGTTTCTTTAAGGAAAGATTCATGAATGAGGCCCAGTTTATCTAAAACTGTTTTAAAATATGGTTTAAAAGGTCAATTGTAACAAGAATCTGGCACTACTGAATTTCAGATTTGTCACCTGTATTATTAAAGGGGGTACATTTTCCACTTTTCACTCTTTCCACAATTGCACATAATATATTAGTCATAGCTAATTAAACTACTAGTTAATATACTTGCTGACCACTGACCTGTGAGAAGTTCCATGTCTTCTGCTTGAGGTTGGTCACTTTGTCACAGTTGAGGAGCTGAGGAACGCTGCTGGTTTGATCATCTACCACACAGCGGGTGTCATCACCTGTACTGCCCAGAGCTCCCAGGAACAACTGCCCCTCTTTGGTAAAACGTCCTAACTGTTAGAACCACAATTAATTAGAATATTATAGATTAAGTATAAGGTGAAAAATACAGTCTTCAACATAGATTTAAATCTGGTAAATACTGGTAAAGGTTCACTACAAGCCCTGAAACTAATAACTGCAAAAGTAACTGTGAAGGAAATAAATTATATACATTATGTTGTCATTTAAACTAATATTGGGTTTCACATTGGCATTACATTTAACATTTCAAAACTAATATTCATATTTAAAACATATTATAATATTTTATTGAATAGTGAAATGGCACCTAAAAATTGAAAGCTGAAACAAATGAATAGTAAGATGTGATGGCAACCATATGCTTTTACATTAATGTTTTAACATAACATCTCATATAGTAAAGAAATACATTATGTGATTTTGACACACTTCGGTTGTTGCATTCTTAAATGGTGCTCTACCTCAGCTTTCAACCAGGGCATTTTAGCTTTGTTTTTGCAAATTACACAGAGACTTAGGAGGAAGTAGCACATTCAATTGCTGACTCAAGGACCCACAAAGTGTTCTAAAAAATAAAACAAAGTTTTACTTGTTGTGTAGAAAAATATACCTGAGGACCCCAGCCATGACAGGGGTGCAGTGTCACTGTGTGGTTCTCCTTTAAACCTTGGTCCATGCACAGGTGGCTGGCTTCAGAGTTACGCATCTAGAATTAAATAGTAACATCACTGAGAATTAATCATAATTAAATTCAAAATCATTATACACAGAGATTATATACATTTTTGTCTTGTTAAAACATAAAAACCTGTCCATAATGCAGGGTGGCAGACCACCTATGAGAAAAGTTATATACTGCACCTTTTAGGTTATTATTCAAGTGTTATTCATTAATAATTGAATATACAAATGGAAAGTAACTCAGAGTAATGCTTTGTAAATTATAAATTATTGGTCTTTGATCTTTATCTGTTCAGTTCTTAAATTTAATTAAGAAAATTTTAAGTACCTATAAATGTCTTCTATATTAGACACCACTTTCCCACTCACCTCTCCATAGAACACTGTGTTGCTGTACTTCCTCATCTCAGGGTACACATTATCCAGGTACCACTCAAAGTTTTTACACTGTAGTCGTTCTCTTAGTGCAACTCTCTCAGAAATGTCTCCAATATCAATGCCATGGTTCTGCATGAGCAAAATCATTCATTAAAAACTTCCTGAATAGTGGCTAGTGAGAAACAACAGAGGTACAGTAAATAGCTTTAACTAAAACATTGTTGCCTCACCTCCATGGGTATATTCCAGGCCAGGTAGACATTGGACTTGTATTTGTCCATCCAGACCTCTGCAACCCGGAGAGCATTGCGTCTTGTGTGAAATGCAATGTTATTGTGATAGGGTTTCTTCGATCGGGCAATGTGGGCAACTCTGGAGCAGGGTAGCACCTCCATACTGCCCCCACACAGCCAAACCTGCACAAGCAACGTAGAACTCAACACACAGACATGGTGTGGCTGTGGTGACTGTTGCTCTTCCCTACATTTAACTTGGAATTGATGGCCCACAAATCTTTAAAATGTCATTTTTTTTCCCTTTAATTTGTCAATATTTTATGGTAAAATGGCAAATGGTCAAATTTTTATATAGCGCTTTTCCATCTTTAAGGTGCATTATCTTAAGGAACCACTCACCAATTCACACATACATGACCACAGACTTGGGATTCGATATGTCAACCTTTGGATCAATGGACAAACATGCCATTTTATGCCATTTTTTTTATTTTATGACTTCTTCTATTCTCGTAACAGCCACATGTTTTAGCTTGGTGGCGTCACAATTTAGATAAGTTTAAAGTCATACTGTGGAACATTCTAGCCAAGGCAATAACATCATTATGAAGGCTATTTGCACATTACACCTTTAAATGTGTCAAATGTGTAAAATGATCTATTCATAGCATATCTTTGCTTTGTGGCCCACTTATGTGCAGGTGAGAGGTGTAGTAGTAACACACCTTAATGGGCCTCATTTATCAGCACTGCCATGTTGGAGGGGGCACCCTGCTCTACTTCTACAAGGGTCAAACACAGAAAAACTGGGTAACACACATACCCTGATGCCCAACTCAATGTTCTCTCCTCCATAGACGTCCATGCCAGAGTCCAGCAGGCCAAGCTCACCAAAGTAGTCTCGGTTAGCAACAAAAGAGCAGCCAATCATAGCGGGACTCCTGAAAAGCACAAATCAGCACAATCAAGTTACATAGGGGATTTATGATACAGGACCTTTTAAAATCCAAACCAAGGCTGAAAAGACATGCCTGATAGGAGCAGTCATGTCCCCCTCATCCCACCACTGTTTGGGAGGGCTGATGTACATGCACCAAAGCTCCCAGTTGTACCCGTGGCCAGAGTTTTCATAGCGCTCCAGCTCAAACGTGTCATGTTTGATGTTGTCGATGGATGGCAAGATAATCCTCCTGCGGTCATCTTTGATTCGGGCCAGAACTGGCTCAGCCCTAAGAAAAAGACACACGTTGTACCTTTAAATTCCCTGTTAAGAATAATTACTTTGTATTTTTTCAATCCCTCAGAAATTATGTGCCTGTGAATGTTTTGATTTAGAGTGCCCATTTTATTCTCTCATAATAATAATATATATATATATATATAAATGTGTATGTGTGTGTGTGTGTGTGTGTGTGTGTATATATATATATATATATATATATATATATATATATATATATATACATATATATATATATACACATACATATATACATATATATTACATACACACACACACACACATTTATATATACATTTAGTGAAGATGTAGTCACTATCTAAATCTTGTGTAACAATTATTATCTTGTAGCTGATATACTACTCACAGACAGATGTCTTTTGAATATCTTCACTCTCACTTCACTCACAAAGTACTCGAAGCTGCATAAACTTTATTACTAATTCTATTTCATTCTGCCCAGCTCTGGAGGGCATATGTCTGATAATGCTGTGTGAATAGGATGTGAGCATTTCTGAGAGCATACAGAGCAGTAAAATCAATATGGGACCTGCATAACTGTGTTAGCTCAGTGTTGTATTGCTTACACATTTAGATACATTTTTATTGCATTAAATGTATTTTCACTATAGCTTCAGTTCAATGTCTGTTTTAGTGTCGCTGTACTGTGTCTGTACCTGCATTTTTCTGAAATGAAATGAGATTGTTTTCTTAGAAAGTAAAGAAATAGGGACTGTGCAGTCACATAGGATTTTCAGTGGGCCTAATGTTACACCAATGGAGATTTTAAGGGTGTGTTCACACTTGATCATTTTGGATCCTGGTTTGGGATTAATTCCAAATTCAAAATGTAATCCCAGTTTAGTCCCAATTTTAAAGTGGTCAATAGTGTGAGCACACTTTATGCAAAATTTAGTGTTCATTCAAACATGTTCTGACACTACAAATGTGACAAATGTGACAGTTAGCTTATTGGGTTGTACCATGTTTCCTGTGTTAACTTTTTTTTTGTATTGTTTTTACTCATGCTTCTCTGTAGATGTTTTGTACAATGTTACATTTTTTTTACATTCAATATTGAACTTGATATTTGCAACCTTCTAATTTATGTGCATTTTATATACTTTCCCCCAAGAAAACAATTAATATGGTCTTAACAGTAATTACCCAATAAAAGTCAGTGCCAGTTGGACTTACCAGTATGGGGTGAACTCCACATGAGCATCAAAGAAGCCAGTCACCTCTCCAGTGGCCACTTTCCAACCTTCGTTTCTGGCACGGATTAAACCCTCTCTCTTCTGGTTCCTCACTATTTTCACCAGACCTGGATACCGCTTGTTCACATACTCCTCCAATGGAGCCTTCAGCTGTTCTGTAATTAAACAATTGAATAAGAAATGCTGTTATACTGACATGAAATTAGTAAGTAGGAAAATATTGTTACTTTGATGATATATATTTTTGAAACAATTTATATATTTAAAAAAAAAATGTAGATAGTAAAGTAAAAGCTCTTAACTCAAGAGATAGTCTAGGTTATCATATGGGTCAGAGTGAAAGTTTATTTATATTTTGTGGAGCATTGTGTAACTTTTCTGGTGGAGGATCTGTCAATTGCTTTTATTTGTGGAGATGTTATTGCTTTGTCTGCAATGTTCACAGTATGGCATTAAATATTTCTATCATCATGGAGACCAAACAAGACCAAGTTACAGGTCAGATCTGTGGAGAGGCAACCCCGCTCAGTCAGAATGTGCTTTTTTTTAGGCATTTTTGAGATATTGTGGAACACTCCAGGCAGACAGGCTCCCAACCAAAACATTACATAGTGCACATTTAAACTGACATATTCTGAATATACTGAACTAATATTTATCCAGTACTGAGATACAATAGACGTTTTCTCCTTGGACACTACCTGGTCAACATGGCTAGAATTCTCCTCTAGGACCAGTTAGGAACTCAATGTGTAGGGAGAGTAGATTCTGGATATCCTGCTATTGCTGTACATTTGTTATTGCTTTTGCTACACATATTATTGCAAATTGTTTCCACGTACTGTGTATTCCGTATGTCCTTATTGACTGCTGTAACATAATACTCTCCGACCTTGGCAGTAGCACATACTAGCACATGATTGTGTCCAATCGGGCTAGGGGTCTGGAGTGGGACGGTACAGGTACATATATGGTGGTGGCATCTGAACCAACCTGTAACCACTGTGGCATTTAAAATCACTGCCAGAATGGGTAATGTCTGTGTACCAGGTAGCAAAGAGGGGAAAAAAGAAAAAGAAAAATATATATGGGCAATATATATGGGTACAAAAAAACAGCTCCAGAGCCCGACGATGTAAGTATGCACCAGTAGATGCACCAGGATTATAAAATTGTGGATGGGCCATCACAGAACTGGCTGGGCTTGTGTTCCACAAACATGTGCGCCCCCTTACCTATGCGCACCTCTGTAGGCCCGTGCATACACATTCTCGTTTCATGGGTGTTCACTGTGTTTCGTCTCAAACCGGTTTGTGAAATACATTTATTGTCATATAACAACCTGGGAGGTGCAGCGCCATGAGCAGGAATCTCTACTTTTACAATGCTAGCAATTCACCGAATAACACACCAGAATATTCAGGGAATTCACTGAACACGCCCCATCACTCAGTCAGTGTGCTTCACCACACCTGATATTTTGGTACACCACACCTCTTTTTTTGTGCTTCACACCAAACACTTCCCAATGGAAGTTATTATTAGGGTATAGTAAGTTATTATTAAAGTTGTATCTTATTATTAAGGCACACCACACCTCTTGTTCAGAGCTCCATGCCTCACACTTGTGCTCCAACAGGAAACTTATACAAAATGTATGTCTCAGTAAGACTGAATATGTAGTATGTAACTCCAGTTACCATTGAACACACTGAACATTCCAAAATAATCTGGGGAAAGAATTGTAGAGTGTGTGTTTAATCTCCCTCCACACAATAAATGGAAACCTAAAAAGTAGCTTCAATGACCATGAAGTTCACTGACCATCCTCGCTGTTGTCATCCACAAGTATAATCTCTTTGAGCAAATGGGCCGGCGTGTAGTTGACGGCTGAATGAACGGAGCGCAGAATCACTGACAGGGCCTCGTCCACAAAGATAAAGATAAGAGAGATCTGAGGTAGATCTCTGGGGTAGTTAAGTGTTTTACATCTGGAGAAACACAGGACACAAAATAGACAAGTCACTGTATGTACACAGCCAGAGTGTGTGTAGAGGATTAGAAAAATAAAACCATTAACATCAACGTTTAAAGAAATCAAAGTTAAAAGTCTGTAAACCCATGGATAATTACAACTCTTTAACAGCTTTATTTTAATTTGTTTGTGTTTAAAGGTCCTATACTATGCAAAAAATTACTCTTGTGACCCTTAAGCCATGTTATAATATTGTTATTACCTCATCAAAAACACACCTGGAGTTGTTTTGTTTCATGTACACCCTCTTTCTTAGTAGTCTGTCTACATGTCCAAAGCTCAAATGCTCGGTTCCACCTATGCCTACCTTTCACCTTTTGTTTCATAGAGACTGGTAATTTCAGGTCTGAAATTATACAAATTGACTTTAGTGAAGGTGTATGGAGTTTAAAAACACAGTGAGTGGAGCGCTTCCCGTCTTGCCACATGAAATCACATGGCGGACCATAGTGTCCTGTTTGTTTCAGAGAAGAACTCAGCCTAAATATATAGTGTCTATGTGTTGAACGTGTGAATGAAACAAAACACAACTCCGGGTCTGTTTGTGATGAGGAAACAACATTATACACATAGATTAGAGAACAACTTATATATGTTTATTTTCTAATATTTATTTATCTTGATTTTTGAGTATCTGACTGTATTCTCTTGCTGTTCTTAACCTATGTGTTGCAACAATGGAATTTCCCCATTGTGGGACAAATAAAGGGTCTCTCTGTGATGAGGTGCAAAAATATGACTTCTAAATGACACCAGAATGCTGGAACATTTCGGTAATTATTTTAATAAATATAACCATTACACTGATTTTTTTTTTTCACATTCAGATTCACTTTGCGCATTTGAATCACTTCCCACCACCAGCCCTAGTTGTGCCTTCAGCCAAACAAAGCAGCCCTCTGAGACTGAGCTGCTGTGAAGCCTGAACATACACACTTCCTACAGCTCTGTGAACCACATAACAATAAAAGACACTGTTACAAGTGAGCTCTGGAATCTGGCTCTTGAGCCCACCAGTCCATAAAGCACAGGCACAGCAAATAGTGTCGGCATGTATGACTGGACTCAAAATCAAGTTAAATGATTAACGTCACAAATAAGATTTTACAGCTATTATTACACAGTTTTAATTACACAAATTCATACTAGGCCTGGGGGGAGAAGTGTTTTGCTTAAAGACACAATAGCAGTTTCAACTAGAGTCACTGCTGTCCCACTGTGGCACCTTGTATTCCCAGTGGTCTCCCATTTAAGTACTAATCAGGCTCTGGCCTATGAATCTATGGCCAAATAAATATTAAGAGTAGGGAAATAATGATTTTAAAACTGAAAGTTTCTGCATGCACTACGACTTCCCTACATTGCTCTGACAAAGTAAATGTCACACTTGTATATTCAATTAATAACTATGTGTCAGCATGCACTTACTGACTGGGCCGGTGATCTGGGAGGCTGCGGTCCAGGGAGATCCGGTCACTGAGGTAGGCGTTGTAGCCGTACTTGTCCCTCAGCGGTTTGGCATCAATCTCCTCCAATGGAGACAGAGTGGAAGGAAGTCCACCTTTCCCCCGACCTCCAAAGCCCTCAATCAGACCTAGAGATTTGGATAGTCCTGGCATACAGAAAGAATGGTCTTATTAAGTGTGATTCTGATTGGTTCAATAAAGGAATTAGCTGATTTTGCATGGTTTCTTACCATTGAGCTGCCTATACACCACATCCTCAAGTGAGCTGAGCCTGTTTAGGAGCAGGTCATGGCTGATTTCAGAGTCTGACGTGGTTCCATTGCCCTTTAACCTCTTCCCCTCAGCCCCAGTGTCCAGATCACTGGCCAGGAAAGTTCTTGTGTTGCATGTGGTCCAAAATGTTATGAAGACACCGACCGCAAGTACGTTCAGCACCAGTAAGACTCTCCATCGTCTTAACACAACAGCCATGAAAGGGGGTGGCCGTCCAGTGTTGAGCAGGAAAACTCTGAAGAAAGTGAAGGCACCTCCACCAAATCTAGGACTCGATCACCTTTGAAAGTAGCTACAGGGCAGGACAGAATCACAAATGAATCATGACAGTTAAACAAGCTGGTAAATAAACCTACTTAATCTTTTGAAGTAGGGGCACTGGCCTCCAGACTATAATTATGATTAATCGATTCACGCCCAGGCTACAGTATATTTGTTGACAGAGGATCACATGTGACTTTTCACGTGGTTTCAAGAAGAATTGCTGCCTAATATCTGTAACACGGATACACCCAAATTTACCATTTGCACCTGGATTAGTCGAAGTCCGGTTTGGGATTGGGTGCAAGTCCGAAGGCTTGTACTCATGTGAGCTCTACTTTGCAGCAGCGATGTTTTGGGGTCCACCAGCACAGATGTTAAACAAAGAACGCAACATATGTGAGCTTTAGGGCAGTACCACGTTAAACACAGATGAGCAAGTTCCCAATTTTACCCTGTTTCATTGGCACCACCAGTGATGCGATTCAGAGAGAAAAATACCTTGCCCTGTATCTCCAATGTAAAGCTCTTATTCAAATGCAGCCTAATAAAGCACCTTTAAGCTCCACGCGATGCGGTTCACATGATCTCATAGACTCCCTGAGGTGCATTTGTCCTAGCTAAGTGTCACTCGGGAAGCTGAGTGACAAGTAGCAGACGGCAGCAACGTTGAGAGAGCCACGGATGCAGGTAGCAGCAGCAATAGCGGATGCGTAACGATGCGTCCCCTTACATCCACTGGCACTCCTTACATTTTAGTTCAGTCTCAGAGAACAGTTCCTTCTTCAATCACCCTTTATGCATTCGGTATGTAATTCCTCATCATATCCTAATTCATTCTTTCTGTCATCTGCCGAGTTGACAGAGAAGCGTGCGCTGTTTGCCGCGATACTTTTAGATGGGGTCAGTGATGGTAGAGAGGAAAGTGGGCGGGGCGTCCTCCGAGCTGTACCCAATTAGGTGCAATTACTGGGAAAAGGGTTCTCACAGCAGGTCCACTCGATACTGGAAGATTTCTAAAATAAAATCCACGATAGCACAAGCTAAATTAAGTATATTCTGCCACTGCGTCTTCCTGTTGTTACACGCTTAGGTTGGCATACCCTAAAGCTTAAGTCTCAATACCATAGAACATGAATAAAATATGATTTTAATTAATTAATGTAGGCCAAATACATTGACTAAATCCAAGTTCGAACTAGGGCTGTGAAAAAAAACAAAACAAAAAAAACATTAAATGATCATTTCAGTAAATGATGTATCAATATGTATGGCTTCATTTGCAAGGAGCACTGCAAAAATGGGTCACCCAGATACTCGCTGTGTAGAGCAAGAGAGAGACACAAAAGACACAGTGAGATCAAAATCCACCAGCAGCAATAAATCAAGAAACACACAAAGACATGAGAGATGCAGAGGACTGACTCTAGGTAAACCCTTTTAGAAGGCTGTAGTAGGTTGTAGATGACAAATAAAACAAGACAAGTGGGTAGATTTGTGACTGTAGCACACTGCAAGGGCAAGTGGAAGTAAAGCAGAGAAATAACAAGCCAGAAGTACCTGAAATTTGTGTGTGAGTTCCATGATTATAGGGGTGGGGGGGATGAAAATGTAACTTTATAATGATTGTACTAGTAAGAAAAAATTTAAATTCTTGCTTTGCTTTCATATGGGGAGGCACTGGACCAAGAAAGCCATATTATTGAAGGACAAAATTCCCACATTAAGGCAATTAGTAAATTATTAAATATTTAAGATAATTCTTGTCATATAATTATCTTCCACAAAAATGCCAACAACAGAACTATACAGACTGGTTACAGCTGTAGGGACAGACAGATCCCCAGCATGTTTTACATTAAGGAGACATTTTGGACTGAAATTATAACTGACAGCTGCCATGACCAGTTCAATGTTTATGAGCATATGGTTACTTACATTATTGCTGCGACATGTGAATCCAAAGCTTCTTAATGGGAATCAAACTAATCTGATTGGTTTAAGTTAAAATTTTTGAAGTATACCGAATAGCAAACAAATAGCAAAGAAATATGAGCATTAATGATATTAAATACTTTTTAGTATAGTAAATAAAAACAACACTTCATTAATATTCTTTCAAAACAGTTTTAGCAAAAATACATTTTGATTAAGGGCACCATTGCTAACTTTGATTGGTTACAAACATACACCCAAACAACATATTTAAAAGTGCAATATCATTGTTAGTGACTAAGATCACAGCAAACAGCAAACAAAGTCAACAATATCATGGATAACTGACTGTGAGTGAAGGATGGTTTAAAACTAATGAATCAACATCTGATAAATATCACAAATTAGATAGACATTCAGCTATCAAAATAGACAAAGTAGTAAAAATAAAAAATATATATATATATTATATACAAATTTCACATCAGAAAATAACACAATTTCATGTTTCATTGTTCTGCATTAATAGCAAAGTAATTTAAAAATGAACACAATGGACCATATTTGAACCTCATCCAACATGTGTTAGGGACTTGGTAAGCTATTCAAATGTATTTTGTGCATTTGTTGGACATAGGGGTTCAGTAATTTTGGCTGTCCCTCTTCATATAGTGCTGCAGGACATTAGGCTTGGACCTGTTATGCAATTCTCCTATGAAACGTGTTCATGTGCTGGACAGGAATCTAACAAAAGGCATTTGGACTTTTGACTTCAAGCTGAACAAACTTTTGAAAAATACACAGTGATTATTTGACTTGTAAATTGTAAATTATTCAAACAAATCTTATGTAGTAACTTTGGCATCAACATCTCTATTTCAATATTGGCAGACCAAGAAATGACACATTTCTGAAAGGCATACTGGTAATCTTTTTGGCAAATGTATGAGTTTTTTAGTTTTTAAGTTTATTGTTGAAATCTCCTCAGTCTCCGCTGTCTCATTTCCTCCTCTGAGAGTTGGAAGCCATAAGGAGGAGGTGCCTGTCTTTGTCGAACTTGTTCTATAAAACCATCAGCAAATTTATACTAGTTTAATTATAGTTTATTATTTAAAAATTCTTGGACAACAATGCAAACTACTTACCATTTTCATTAAGACTGTTCCTGATAGCTCTCTCTAATTGCTCCTCTTCTGTCAGTCCCCCTGTATAATCTGCATTGTTAGGTGTTGTGGCATTTGGGGGACTATGTCTTGTGCCACTGTAGCCTGCAAAATACAACTAATGGTATTAAAACAAATCTTAATTCCAGCAAAACATAATCAAATGATACATACCAGAGGAACTGTAATGTGTCCTTGGCCTCAAGTCAATAGTCACAATATCTGTACATGCAACAAAGTAAAGAAAGAACAATATAATATATGTTTTAGACTGATAAAAAAAACAGTATTTTATTAAACAGTTTGTTTGTTTTTTCAGTCACTTTGACACACTTCTCTAGTGAAAATTGACATTTGCTAAACAGCTCACACAGAATGCAAACAGGCTTACTGATAAATCATCCCCCAAAAGCAAATTTTATCGTCCAAGCTCCCAAACTGTGGCCATGTGTTTTTCTGTGCTCTTTTATTCATTTGACAGTGCAGCTCAAAAGCCCTAGTCCTGCTCTCAGGGCCCACATAGAACCACTGTCTGACATTGAGGTTCACACTTTATACCGATGAAATTTGGGACTTGAAGAGTTTTATTTTTCTTTTCTCTCAATATATTATACGATTTTTTGTAAGGAAAAAAAAAAAATATATATATATATTTTTTATTTTTTTTCATGGTATTTTTCCAAATATGTATGATGAAGAAAATTCAGAGATGTCAGATTTATTTATATAAATTTCTATCAATTACATCAACAATTGCTATATGTACCGGTAATGTGTGTGTTGTGGAACATCAAACAAAGACATTCATGTCAACAGAACACTGGATATATGGCCTATATCCAGTGTTCTGTTGACATGAATGTCTTTGTTTGATGTTCCACAACACACACATTACCGATTACTGTAGGATGTCTTTGTACTCTGAATCATTGTGTGAAATCCTCTGATGATAGATTTTGGATGCTGTCATGTTTGAGTTTGTTAATTGAAAGTAACAGAGTTTGGGCCAACATCCTATACTACCTGAGAACAGACCTGTGGCATTGAAAAAAAACAAGTTGAATTCACTAATTGTGTATGCTTCTGAATGAATGTTTTGAAAAGAGCCTGAAAACTGTGAACTGATGAGAAATATTCCAAATGATTTGACCACTTGAACATGTTATAGATACCTGTTTGAAATTATCAAATTAAACCAAGTTTCAAAAAATGTGCTAAAACTATTGAAAAAACTATAAAAGTGAGTGAGTGATACCTGCAAATTTCTTCATAATGGTCTTCAAAGGTCCAGAAGTGTAGAGCAGTCCAACTAGGATACCTGATAGGTGACCAATAAAAGATGTTCTGAAAAAAACAACACCAGAGATCTAGTTTACAAATGCAAATTTCTTATTATTTAGAAATCAGTGCAAATTTAGTAAATAAAATACATTATAATAAACTTATTTTTCTGTAAACTCACCCAGGTGATGTTATGTGGATCAGCACTAATTCTGCCCAACTAGCATACTGATTTGATATAGGAATACCCATCACACTGGACACCCCTCCAGGAAAATAATGGTTAACAAGAACCTTTAAACCAAAAAGGACCCCTAAAATTAACCAGAAAACAATTATATTTTGTCATGTGTTGCTTATAGTTATTTACAGTGCTGGAGTTTTACAGTGTAACTTCATACCAGAGAAGCCAACTGCACATTGCATGCTGAAGGAATTGTCCTGAGTGAGCTCTGTTAGCGCAGCTTCCAACAGCAGATAGACCAGTCCAGTGAGCACAGAGAACACTGACAGCAAATACAGGAAATAAGGTCCACCGAGACGTCTCTCCAGCCTCATGCCTTTCCACACCAGTGACACCATGTTGAAGTACAGGTGCCAGTCGTCTGCATGGTGTAATGGGGAAAGCAGCAAACGCCGCCAGTCTTTGTGCCAGTAG